ATTGGGTATAAACTATTTAAATTTAGTCAAAGGAACAACAAAGGTCAATATTGTAAATCTTAACTGTCTGTTAAGGAAGTACTCTGCTAAGAGGTATGCACTAAAGTTGAGTAACTCAACAGTAACTTCAAATTAAGATATAATAGAAGAAAATATATTGGGGCTATTGGAAAATAATGTCAAGAATTTAATTCGGTAGTTGAAAGCTGCTGAGAGTCGCTTGGAAAACGTTCATTTATGTTATCAACCAGCTTTAATAAATGAGATTAATTCTGGATAAATAATATTGCTCAGGATCTTCAATGATGATGTTTAATCATCAGTATAGAGTTCGGAGATCAATGAGTTTTAAATAAAATCAATGTTAGGTCATCATTGAAAGCCTAAAAGCACTGAACATTAATCCGTTGAATGTCAGTTCAGCGATCTACAGATGGTTGTCTAACATTGTTCGATTTTTAGTTAGTTATAATCACCTTAATGCCATCTGATGTTAAGCTATTCGTTGCAATTCAGTTACCACTAGAGAATAGGTATTAAAATAAAATTCGATACTAATACATGACAAAGTAGTCTTAGTTTGACCATCCACTACCACGAGTTTTTATGGTTCAAATGATGAATAAATATATCTTAGTCCATAACTTTTAAATGTCGACATATTAATGGCACTTAGTTTTCTTCCTAAAATGTAATTTTTTGTAGGAGTTTGTACAATTAGTAAGATGTTATTTTTGTCATATTCAGCTGTCAGTTTAGTTGGAATCACATCATCTTTCAAAACTGTCAAAGTATTTATTTAACATTTAATTATGATGGAGATAACTCTTTGAAATATTTTTTTATGAATCATTCTACATAATGTATTAAACAGTACTGTAATCCTTTCCAATAAATCTGGATAACTGAATTGTTTACATAAATTGGTTTAAGTTAAAAGTTAATAGGAACAATAACGGGGAGGATTTGCATGCATATAGCATACAATTGTCTTTGAACCTAGTATACAACAATAGCATCATTCACTGTCCCATCGCTCTTGGCAGATCAGGCAACCCGAAAGTTACGAGAACACCATCAGGGCATACGACAGGCTAGGTACCACAAGTTAAAAGTTACTGAAACTAAAACTCTGAAAGAGTTAGTAAGTCTATTAGTAGTATTGATGTTTCTATTTCATGCAATATGAATTACGGTTAACGAAGAGTTTAAATTCAAAATGATTGCCAACTCAGAAAATGATAGGCAGAAACAAGCAATTCATGATAATATTAATCTTTTTCTAACTGTTTCAATAACATACAATAAAATGAATAAACGTCGATCGTGTATATGAAGATGAATTCATCAATGAAGTTTACATTTTGATCATAGTATTTAAGTTAGATATGAAAATTAAAAACTGAAATTATTTACTGATTATTGCGAACTTAAATATTAGCATTACTTACATAACTTACTATAAATGAGTGATCTATAGAAAGTATTTTGCTTAAACTATTAAAATGTTCAAACTAGTAGTTGTGATGTAGAGTTTATATTGTGCTGAAAGTGTAGTATGAAATAAGGTCATTATTCATGATAATAATAATAATAATAATAATAATAATAATAATAATAACACTGAAAGCTCATCTATAATCAAATACCATTTTGGTAACCAAAATCAATTCTCTTTCTGTATATGGGACACTTGTTTAATAAAATGACAGATTTTTGTAAATGGACAGATAAAAGAATACAGTATTCAGGAACGAATAGTAAACATTGAAATTACAATCACAGAAATGTCACTTTATAACATGCAATAAAACTGAGATTTAATTTAGGCCTAATAAGAGTTTATAAACATAATGTGGAATTTTTCATTAAACAAGATCACTGTTTCGTGAAAAACTTTGAAAGACATCGTGTTTACGTCTTAACTACATCAAAGTTTAATCTTCTTAAACGGTTTCATCTACGAACGGCTTGTTTTGTAGTCTCGAAATAGAAAACCACATAAACCAAGGAAAAAACAGTTAAAGATCAGTTTCTGAACATATTAGACAATGTTAAGAATGTTTTGTTGAGAAGTCATAAACAAGAATGAAATATGAATTCACTTGGCATTGTTTACTTGAATTTTTCCGTTGATGTTTAGGACTGCAATTGATTGGTCACTAATTGGCATATATGCAGACTGTACGTATTGCCTCGATATTGTCTTAATTCACAATTATTATAAGCAAAGATGAATAGTGGCTAGCAGCAGAATCCAGGGCGCGCGTTTCGTCCTGATTCAAGTAAACAATACCAAGTGAATTTGAGCTTCACTCCAATGCACAAGCAAGTGGCTATCATGACTCAGTAGATAAGTGGATATAAAGCGATGGAGTTTGGAGCGAACGGTACTGGTTCTGAGTCCCAGAGTGAACATCAACTGTGAGATTCAGGCACATCCAGCTGACAAGTCCCAAATAGGACGAAACGCTCATACTGTATTCCATTGCTAGCCACTATCCATCTTTGCTTATAAGAATGAAACATATGTCTAGTTACATTTGATGTACGACGTGATCAATCTTCAACTTTGGTACAATAAACAAATTGGTACCATGTATATGAACAGTTTTGACTATGCTTTAGAAGAAATATTCTGTGATATTAACTTTCTGATTGAAGACTAAATTCATTTCACATATAAATCCAGTAAGAAATATAATCAAATCTGTTCATTTTGTTGTCGAAATAAAACAATCAATTAAGGTCTTTTATTATTACACTCATCTACAGTAAAATGCAAATGATTTTTGGTAGAATTTCGACCATGAAATAATTAGTTAAACTGAAATACACGTCTAGTAATGACTAAAGCCTCACTATTCAACAAAATTCTCTCATGTAATGAAGTTGGATTTTCTTTATTAATAATAATCTCAGTAAATTATTTCTTATTGACCTTATTTCGAACAGTATAAATTAAAAGCTATTAACTTTTCTTTGATAAGTTATTAGGTTTTAATAGTGGTTTACTGTGATTCGATACGAAGTGAACACTTACATCATGAATACAATCTCCACATGACAGAAGTTAACAGCAGTTAATTCTGCCAATTCATTTTATTAATCAGTCAGAAAATAACAAATCCTATAGATATAGAAACCAACTATGCTTTATAAACATTTGAAAGTCCATCAAGTATGATTTTCAACTTAAAAAACAAAGGTTATCAATTGGAAAATAAAAACAAAGTGCAATTTTAAAAAGTAACATTGAATTTTGTGATAACCATTAGGTCACATAACTTTACCATAGTTTTACAAAAGCATCCAAATGTTATGAAAATAATCATTTCATAGTATAAGTATCCAGAATTACCAACTGTTTGTGATAAGAAAATAAATGAAATGGAGATATTGTAAATACAACATAATAAAAAGCAAGCAAATGGTTGATTAATATGTTTTCAAGAGGGAAAAAAATTGTAGCATATAATTAACAACTCCAAGTAAATAAAATATTTTGATTTAGTAAAAGTTATTCAGTTCACATCAAAGAAACAGTTCTTCAGTTATCGTACTAAACGGAAAAGTCTATTGGATTTCACTGAATCTCAATCGTCTCCAAAATCCTCTACTGAAAATTATCATTTCCTCATTAATGAGCAGTTTTGAGAAGAAATTTTGGGAGTTCCAATGAAAAGCCGTGATCATTAGAGTTCAATCGTTTCAGCTGTTAGGCAATCAAATATGGTAGCACAATGTCATGGACTAGTTGGAGTTAGACATTTACACCATCCAATACTAGATCAGTGTTCTAGGGGTTAAGTGTTTTCTCTCGAGACCGAATGTCCTAGATGGGTTCGATTTCTATTCGTTGGGTTGTGGATGAGCACTGATGAGTAGTCCCATTCTAGAATGAAACGGCCGTCCATTGATTCCAGGTTTTGAATGTCTGTCTAACTTATATTGACTCATGTTTTCAATGAAATGATATAACATATATAGTAATTAGATTTACCGATTTATCATTCATATTTGTACTACTTCCGTTTTCAATACATCATGCGCAGACAATATATAATTGAAGCCATTTGTTATTTATTATTATTATTATTATCTCTTAGAGGTGGATAAAAATCACATGAATTTCTTTGTAAGAAAGTTTCTGTGTGTAGAAGCTATAATTAATGGATAAGAGTTCAAAAAAGATTTTCTGCAGTCTATCTATTTTATTTCACAAGTTATTCATTAAGTATATACTACTCAAACTATCAAATAAATATACAATTACTGATGTTTTTTAAAAAACGTTTGTTTAGTCTTAAACATATGGAATTCTCAATTTTCGGTTTAGTTTTTTTAAAAGTGTAAATAAGTTCACTACAGATATGAAAAGAAAAAAATCACTACAAGTATAGTTGAAAGGTAATTAAATTAAATTTTTTGGAAGACGATAAAAAAGTTGGCTAATAAAGTGGCAATTATCCAATCGAGGGGTAAATGGTTTAAACTCGAAAGATTTTGATTATAATGTAGTAACAACAATAATAATTGTTAGTATTATTAATCATAATAATAGTATTGTGACGAGTTTGTGGAATTATAGTTATTATAACAATCGTATTTGCTCATCTACATGAATGGGATGTTAATTTGCCTTAGATGAATATTGACACTAAATTCCCTCCCAGTGTCTATTCTACAAGATATTAACACAAATCAGATCAAGAACACGTGACTAGCCTCACTAGAACGTATGTATATTTCCATACCAAAAACGGACAGCAATCATAATTAGGGTAAGAGAATATATAGCTCATTTGGCATCTGTCAGACTATCTACTGGTCTATGTACTAGTGTTAAAAATAGCACTGAGATACAAGTAAACACAACTAACAAGTCTCAAATGAAATGAAACTTAAGCACTGGATTTCATTGCTAGTCACAAATAAAATTATCCAGAAATAAATCAATATATGTTATGAGTTCATTTTATTCTCTTCTTGAATTTTAGTTTCACACGGATATCAGGTTAACTGAAGTGAATCAAACATTACTCGGTCGACCATTAATCATTACACATGAAACAAACAGTTTCCCGTTTGATAATTACGGTCGTTATTTATACGAATACATGAATCCTGGGTCATTATTAAATGTATTCTATAGCAAAAGCATAACTAAACGATTAAATACTCGTCGAAATCCATGTACTTCAAAGCCAATTAATTTATTAGGTAACAGTTTCGATTATGATCAAGTAAGTTGATCTATTATAAGTAAAAGTTGATCATATTCTACATTTTTCCAACATTAATGTTAACTTTTGTTAAAATTACAAACATTTACAATTTTTAACACACCATAATGGTTTATACAAATGGTGTACGAATAATATTGTATGGTAATTCCCAATGATGATAGTTTCATATGAGAACTGTAAGCGAACATAATGTTCCTTAAATTAGAAAATCTATCGAGACGTTTAGGCATTTTTATTATAAATTTGAAACTTTTATCGAATCTGTGTAGTAGTTAAATATCCGGGAATTTAAGATCAACAACTGAATGGTATTAGTAGGTGAACGAATGAACGAGACTGAAATTTCATCTCTCTTGAGATGAACATATTCATTCTCCCCTCACTCAATTTGTTTATTGGTTAAAATATCTCTGAAAAATTAGTTCAGAAAGCAATCTTTTTTTCTTTCATCGAAATATGTACTGAAATTACTATTCGGTATAATTTCAAGTACACACTGAAGAAGGAATAAGAATTCTTTTATAAGTTGTGTCAAATAATAAAAACCCATAGTCTTTTATTTGTTCTTAATGCGACTGGACAGCATAAAGATGTTTATTCATTAGTTGTTTGTTGGGTAGTTGGCATGGCTATGTTTGACACGCTCATAAGAGATTGCAATGAAATATGCACGTAGATTATCTGAGGCCCAAAGGACATATATGGTGATATCACAGTAACTATTATCTACAATGAAACCCAAGATTCAGCGATTTTATTGTCATTATGTGTCATCTTTCATTCCATCTCAGTTTGACTTTATGGTGGATAATGGTAATAATGTTACAGTATTGATCGAGATTCTGAAGTTTCATCAAATAAATACTTGAAAATGAGAAATCGCTTGCAGAACTATTTATTCGCACATAAACTCATCAGACGAATGGTGTCATATTGCCATGTAAGTGATTACTTTCATAAGGCTTAGCTTAAATTTAAACATGAGGAATCGATTGAGGATTTAGTCATACGTGCAACCCATGTCAAGTTTATCTACAAAGCTAAATATCTCATTTATTTTTGAGAAGAAAAATACTTATAAATTTCATTAGCTGTTCTACATCAAGGAAATTCTCAAAGACCATTAACTACTATGGTTTTAGAGTCAGCTATTTCAATAGAATAGAACGATTAACGTCAATAAACTTATTCCAAATAGTCTTAAAATTCTTTTCTGAGCAAATACAGATTTTTCAAAAAAAATTGCAATAAAGATCGTTCTTATTTCAACTTTGAGATAAAGCAAATAACTTTTAACATTTTTTAAAACCTTTTTTTATTATGATTTTTTCCCATTTTGTTCAGTTGCTATCCAATCGATGCTTTATGTATATAACTTCTCATATGAAATTAAATTTACTTCCGTATATTTCTAATTCATTAAGCTGATTTATCATAGAGCAGAGAAAAACGTTTTTTAGTGGCAGAATCACAGAGTTGATAATTTTTTATCATGGGATTTTGAGTATGGATTGTAATTTGGTTTATTTAAGTGTAAAACACGATGGACTAGGTTGGTTAAGACACGTGATAAGTTGTAACCATGGCGATTCTGGTTAACAAGCGTTTTAGTTCGAAGAAGCGGGCAACTAAACTATGAAATGGTATTTATTGACAGATCAGTAACTTGTAAACTGAGACGCGTTGACGGGTGCAAACTTCTGATTAATGTGATCGAAATAGTTATAATGTACATTTGAAGATTTTCGATGACATAGTCATATCTTCCTATGCTGTGTATTCTGTTAAAGATTCACAAAAAATCTCTATCTAGAGAAATTTGGTATACATACCTTTATTTTGTTTAACGCTTATAAATCCACATTTTATCCTATTCACAATAGTAACAAAATCAATATAATAAGCTTTGAGATAAGTGAAATGATGTCCTGAGCGTAACATCTGTGTCTCCCTCTTTTCTAAACTTCAAGTACTGAGAGATTATTGAATAATTGTATTTATACATCAATCCAACTAAGATCCATATTTATTTTTTTGTAAAATAAGATAACACTTCGGTCTTGTCAAAATTATTGTTAAGGTGTTTTGTTTATTTTTAATCTGAACATACAACTTACAGTCTCTTTCTACTTATGTTATGTAATAATTTTTGATCGATTGGTACAACACTCTATAAGATAGGAAATCATCACATATAGTGCTTAGAATATTCATCCTGCATAGTAGATTTATTCCACTTTGCACTGGCTTAATTTTTATATCACACACTAAATAATCACTAATTAAATAAATCAAAGTCAAAAATTAACATTCGCCAATTAAAGTGTGAAATATATATCTCGCTATTCTTTTTTTTTAATTGAAACATTTGTGATCTCGATTTACTGTTTTTTATAATTTTGTTTAATCATTTATCGATATTCTTTAGATCACATGTCAGTGGCATACGGTTTGTGCACGATACAACAAAGAATGTAATTGTACATGCCCTTTGGAATTACTTCGTCTTCGATTGGATCGTGAAATCAAAAGTAGAGCTTCGAATAAGTCATTCTTTTTGAACACTGATCATAACCGTCAACAATATCGATCTAAAAATTATTGTCCACCTAATTGTCAACTTGACTATCGTATGGCCTTTGTGAATAACTCTATATGTCCATTGGCATGTCGTACAGTAACTTATAAAAAGTTAAATGAAGTTCTAGACAATATTACAGATCGTTCAGTTGTACAATTAGAATTAATTCAAGCTGAAGGTTTAACTGAACTGACTGAGGAAGCGTTGTATTCATTGCCTAAATTATTTAGTGAAATAGGTGGATTAAGTTCATTTTGTTTTGGATTTAGCTGTATTCTGTTTTTCGAATTATTGGAATTAGCCTTTTGGTTAAGATGTACTTATCGTTCACAATTTCTTGAACGTGTAACAAAGATGTTAGGACAACATATGGAAATTATTGAAGAACCTAATGACAAGACTTTCAAAAATCTTCAAGATACAACTAATAAACTATCATTTACAGAAAATGTTTGGCAAGTACAAGATAAACGATGTCATAAACTACATAACAAAAACACTAGCTCACAGATGCAAAAACAAAGAAAAGATGAGTCAGTTCGTCCAGTTACTTCAGTATCAAAATGGACTTCACATGACCAACTAAAAGGAAAATCATATAAATGTTCATTAATATGTATACCAACCCGGTTGAAATCTCGCACATCAAATCGTATTGAATTAAACCCATTAAAAATGTATAAAGTTGATGGTACACGCTTAAGTGAATATCCTAAAGATCAAGACAGTCCATTAATCGGTTTAAAATCGCACAAAACTTTTCTTTCAGAAGAACCTACATTGGAAATACATCGAAGTTCTTCTAAATTTGTTCAATATCCAATGAATTTATCTGCCTTCAATGATAAAGTTCAGATTTTAACAGTTCCGGTTATTTTAAATGATCATTTATTTCAAGTTGCTATAGACTACGAGATAGCTTTATAAAAATGGTTATATGAATATAGTTATTTATACATTTTCATTTTATGACATTATTATTTTATTTTTGAAACAAATATCCAAACTATCATCAATTTATAATGTATTGAAAATCACAAATTAAACATTTCTTTGAATAAATCTTCATTATGAAATGAATACTTTCCAAATTCAAATACACTTCATAAATAATTAGCTTATTAAAATAAAGAATTTGTTAGATGATGTATAAAATTTTCATATATTGAACTTATTGAGTGTAAATTTATAGATTTAAAGAAAGTATATGTGTATTGAAACTGTATATGAAATATGATATATAGATATTCTTCTTTGTTCCCTTACTTTCAATCAATTCCAGTTGCTAAGATTCATAAAGGGATATATTACTAACAATACATGAGTTAACTTGTAGATGTCATGACTAGTTATTTGTCAGTCTAACTAGGCCATTTAATTGTAAGAATCTAATTTACTAAGCCTCATAAATGATGTTCCTCTTCAAATGTTTTCCCCAACATATATTTGTTCACATAATTAAAATAACCCATAGTGTCATTGAATAAGCAAAAGAGAATTCAGCAAAGTTTGTACAATCATCTTTTCAGAAAATCGATTCTGGTATTCGCCATGGCAAGCTTGACAGAAAAACTAAGAAACCCACTGAGTTTCTTTACTGTCACAGGATCCTTGCAGCTCTTCAGATAATTAAAATAACCCATAGTGTTATTGAATAATAAAAAGAGAATTCCCTTTTTCATATATTTGTTCTATAAATATGAACCTTTTAACGTTCAGTTAATACTATTTAGTTAAATTATAAGGTATTTCAAAACTAAATCATCCAGGCAAATAAATTTACACTTTTAATGGATCATATCATGGAACATTAAACAATTGTCCTAATATTCATTTTTACGACCCTACCAATATATGTATTCAGAATTGATTTAAGCACTCTCATTCTATTTAATACTAATTATGAAATTAATCTTCTTAATTTTCTAGGTTGATCTATATCATACAACATGTAGTTTATTCAATCAGTAGACTGTTCAAGGTCATTAAACATATTAGGTGATGATTTCGAATTCTCACTATTGCCTTGATTTGTTTATGCCATATTCAGCAATTGGATGAATTTATGTCGTCATTCATTTTAATGAAGGGATTACTAATTACAGATTTATGTAGATTTAAATTATACATTACTATTTTATAAATTAGATTTGCTTCGAAAAGTCCCGGAAATTTTGTTTGATGTATTCTGTGATGAACCATATCAAGAAACAATTTATCACTTTTACTTACTTACTTACTTACGCCTGTTACTCCAAATGGAGCATAGGCCGCCGACCAGCATTCTCCAACCTACTCTGTCCTGGGCCTTCTTTTCTAGTTCCATCCAATTCTTGTTCATTTTTCTCATGTCTATTTCTATTTCCCGGCGTAATGTGTTCTTTGGTCTTCCTCTTTTCCTTTGGCCTTGAGGATTGCATGTGAGAGCTTGTCTTGTGACGCAGTTGGGTGCTTTCCTCAATGTGTAACTGTTAATAAACACTTGTATTTTCTGGATGATGGCTTTTGTAGTTCTCCAGGTTTCCGCCCCATACAGTAGAACTGTCTTGACATTTGTATTGAAAATTCTGACTTTGGTGTTGGTTGACAGGTGTTTTGAGTTTCAGATGTTATTCAAATGTAAATATGCTGCTCTTGCTTTGCCGATCCGCGCCTTCACATTTGCATCAGATCCACCGTGTTCATCAATGATGCTGCCCAGATATGTAAAGGTTTTCACATCTTCCAAATCTTCTCCGTCAATTGTGATTGGATTGGTGCATTCTGTGTTGTATCGGAGAATCTTGCTTTCCCCTTTGTGTATATTGAGACCTACTGCTGCTGAGGCTGCTGCTACACTGATCGTCTCCTGCATTCGTTGTTGCGTTTGGGATAGAAGGGCCAGGTCATCTGCGAAGTCTAGATCGTCCAACTGCATCCTAGATGGCCATTGTATCCCTTGATTTCCTTCAGATGTTGACGTCTTCATGATCCAGTCGATCATCATGAGAAACAGAAAGGGTGAGAGTAAGCCACCTTGCCTAACACCGGTCGTTACTTCGAACGACCTTGTCAAATGTCCTCCATGCACAATTTTGCAGTGTAATCCATCATATGAACTCTGTATGATATTGACTATCTTCTGAGGCACGCCGTAGTGTCGAAGAAGTTTCCATAGTGTTGTTCCGTCCACGCTATCAAATGCCTTTTCGTAGTCAATGAAGTTGATGTAGAGTGATGGATTCCATTCAATTGATTGTTCCACAATGATCCGTAGAGTTGCGATTTGGTCTGTACACGATCTATCCTTACGGAATCCTGCCCGTTGGTCACGAAGTCCTTCATCCTGTTTAACAATACCTTGTTGAAGTCTTCCCCTGGTATTGAGAGAAGAGTGATGCCATTGTAGTTATCACATTTGCTGAGATCGCCTTTTTTTGGTATCTTGAGCAGGTGTCCTTCTTTTCAGTCTGCTGGTACTTGTCCTTCATCCCAAATCTTATTGAAGAGAGTGTGGAGTATCCTTGCAGTTACCGCTACGTCTGCTTTTAGTGCCTCTGCTGGAATGTTGTCTGGTCCTGCTGCTTTGCCACTCTTGATTTGTCTGATGGCCGTGCTGATTTCTTCAATTGTTGGTGGGCCAACATTGATTGGGAGGTCCGTGGGTGCTGCTTCGATGTTGGGTGGGTTCAGTGGAGCTGGTCGATTCAAGAGTTCTTTGAAGTGTTCTACCCACCTGTTTCGTTGCTCTTGAATGTTGGTGATTACCTCGCCTTCCTTGCTTTTCACTGGTCGTTCTGGTTTGCGGCGATTTCCTGAGAGTTTCTTTGTTATGTCATACAGTTCTCTCATGTTTCCTCTTTCAGCCTTTTCTGCCGTCGTTGCTAAATCTTCCACATATTTACGTTTGTCGGTTCTGATGCTCCGCTATTTATCACTTTTAGTATCAATATATCATGAAGAAATATGGATGATCCATGATTACTCGCAAACTAGTTTGACATCTTCACATAAAATATCAATTATATTTGACAATTTAACAAGTTCGTAGCTCTATGTAGTGATGTTTACCTTTGACTGATAGATTCACATCAATGATCTTTATGTAGCAGATGAAATTTGTATTCTACATAAGGTCATGAGTAAAAATATATGTCAAACTACTAATAAGAAGAAAGAAATAAGTCATTATTTAAGTTAAATTATTTGTTATTCGACAAACCCTAAGTGTGAAATATATGATAATTTACATTTAGTGGACTGTCTCCAGTGTACTGTTTCCGATATTGAACGCTTAAGAAAAATTGATTTTTATGGTACATAGTATTTTATGTTCAATAGATCACTTTGTTAAGTTGTTAACATTGTAGGTTTCATTCCGCTTGCTGTAATCCTTCAGTTTATCGTCTTTAATGATAAAATTTCTCAAATGTAAATTATTATAATACGATGAACCTATTGAGTATTTTCAATCATGATATCTGAAGTATTCGTGTTTGGACAAAACCAGAGAAGAAGAACACTTTACTGAATAAATCCAAACAGACAATTGAATAATAACAGAATACCCTAATAAACTTATTTTTTCTATTTCAACAACGTACAGACCAGGCCTTTTATAGGACAGGATTCATACTCAATAATCAATATTACATCATTGATGAACAAGAAGGATCAAATGCAGACGTAAAGGCGAGGATTGGCAAAGCAAGGGCCGCATTCCTACAATTGAAGAACATATGGAACTCAAAACAACTCTCAACCAATATCAAAGTGAGGATCTTCAATACCAACTTCAAGGCAGTTCTACTTTACGGAGCTGAAACTTGGAGAACTACAACAGCCACCATCAAGAAGGTACAAGTATTTATAAATGGTTGTCTACGCAAGATACTCAACATCCGTTGGCCGGATACCATCAGCAACAGCCTTCTGTGGGAGAGAACAAGCCAGCTTCCAGCTGAAGAAGAAATTAGGAAAAGATGATGGAAATGGATAGAACATACATTACGCGAATCACCAAACTGAATCACGAGGCATGCCCCAACTTGGAATCCTGAAGAGAAGCGAAAAAGAGGAAAATCGGGAAATCGAAGCAGATATGAAAAGGATGAATAATGACTGGAAGGAGCTGGAAAGGACTGCCCATGACATGGTTGGATGGAGAATGCTGGTGAGCGGCCTATGCTCCTCCACGAGAAGTAACAGGCGCATGTAAGTAAGTAATCGGGATTAATTAATTACTAGTTAGTTAAACCTGTTAATTGAGACATTATTTCTATATATATAACTTAGTATTTTCTGTTTATTTGATTTTCCTAAACAGTAGAAAATTTTTTCCACAAATTTTTACATTTTATTGGATAATAGCTCTACATAAGTAAACACAAAGAAAACTATGCATTATTTTCAAGTTTCACTTTATTATGACTTCAACCAACCATTAGTCTACGTGACATTTAATTCATTGTTGTAGAAGTTTTTAATGCTTATGATAAATAACGGACTTGAAATGTTCCAAATTAAACACTGACGTCTATTATGATGCAAGCCAACACTCTTTGACGATGTTATTTTGTTATATTTAATCCAAAGTGAAACAATCAATTTTACTTCGTCTAATATACTAACTCATGTTTCGTTAGAAGATTTGAAGATACTAGTTTTAATTTCAAGAAATTAGAGGTGAACTGACAATGGGCAAGGAATTCGTATTATGATTCTGACCGTATTTTCATCTACTTCATGTGATTTGGTAGGTAGAAATGAAGTAGCTGAACTACCTTAACCAACATTTAAACCAGTAGAAACAGTATTTATTCGTAGTACGATTTTTGATAAAATAAATATCAATAAAACTACAATGAATAAACAGTTTAAAAATGAATATGAATCTTAGTAAGCGAACCATAAGCGTTTTTAACACTTTTACTACGTTTTCACAACGA